TTGTGAAACATGACTCTAAAGCTGAGATGATTATTGATGAAGTACTTTTCCTCTTTGCTCTGGAGAAGTAAATACAAGAATAGTCTAGTGAGAGCTTTCAATTGAAACGAATGGTCGAGTGAAACTTTCTTTTTTATAATAATAATAATAATAAAAGAAAAAAAAAAACTCACCCCAGCATAGTTTCCTTTGAAGCCTACACGAAAACCATGTTCATAAGTGGTTGACTGACTTCCATCACGTCTTTGTCTAAGAACAGCAACTGGGAGGTTATCCAAAATCCTGTAATTTCATATCAAAGATTTAAAAAAATGGGTATGTGATTGATATGTGTAATATAAAGATGAATGGGATTTAGAAAAATGGGGTGTACATGTTAACGCGATACTCGTCATCGATCTTTTCCTTGAAGTTCTTTGCAGATTGGGCATCAAGCTTTATTCTACAACCTACCTTACATGGGAGCTCCTCTCTCATATGAAACTGAAATGGAAATAGAAGCTTAGATCATAAAAGTACACATGGTAAAAATGTAGGGTAAGTAATAGACACTTACTGTGTATACTGAGTTCTCTATACGATCACCTCGTAGCACCTCTCCCAAGTTTTCAGCACTGTTTTGAATGTGCTTGGGTTTACAGTAGTTCAAGTAATAGTAGTCGTAAGGAAGTTGAGTCTTTGTGGATGATAGTTTGTTGACTTTTACTTGAAGAGGATCACCCTGGTGAAAAGGAGTGTAAGATTAGTCATAAACTCTATCAAGCTACAATAGACTAACAATCTTACAGAAAATAGCTACAAATAAGATAAAATAAAGAGGAAAAAGACTAGTAATCTCTCCAGTATTACAAGGGTTAGCATCAACTCATAAGATCAATATACAACAAATGTGGTTCGAGAATAGATCACCTAGGGAAAATCAAATCAGATTGGCTAAATCAACGAAAATATCCACTCCATTCCGAGGAAAAAAGCGCACATAGTAATTGTTATCTGAAGACTCAAAACATTATTTCATGATACTAGATTACTTTTCCTTTTTTACATATCCAATTGCATTATATGCAACATTCTCCACAAAAAAATGTCTTTGAACTCGATGTTTTAGGAAGATAAGTACTAGCATAATGCAAACAACACCATCAGAAAATTAATCAATACCAAGGGCATAAGCAACTGGACTAAAATATCAATTCAACATAAAACCCAAAACCCTAGATCCAAACTCGATTCATACGGATCACAACCTATATACAAACTAGAACAGTAGATCGGAGTCATTAGTTGTAAAACACATAGATACATGTCGACTTTAGCGACTATAACAAATTGAATCTGAACCACATGTAGATATTAGATCCAACGAACAGCAAAAACATTGAGATTACGTACCCTTTGAAAATCACGAGGAGCAACACCAGGTAGATAGAATGATTCAGAAGATGAGATGAAGAAGACGATTGAGATGAAGATGGTAGGGATGAATCCATTGGAGCTCCACTCCATCTTCGATCGGAGTGAAAGCGAGATCTTGATCGCAAAGAGGGAAACGCGAAAGGAAGGAACCAGAAGAAATGCTAGTGGCGTGTTTCGATAAATTATAGAGGCCTTCACATTAGTAATTCCAGATTCGTTTTTGCTATTTCCAGTTTTCAACTTTCTTCTTGGATTTGATTTTTTTTTCTCTGTTAAAAAATATAAATAAAAGTAAAATATTACAACTATCTACACCGAGTCACCGACGCCGTATGCCGCCATTCGCGATAAAATAAAATATTCCCTCAATCGTAATGGATTATAATTAATCAGCTTATAGACGAGAGAAATATAACTTTTCTTTTTAAGTTTTCGGGGAATGTTTTATATCATGAAATTAGTCTTAGTATTGTGCTCGACGTTTTCTCATGGCTAGATGGTTCTCGGCTATATAAGTACTTTACAACTTTGTGGATCATTTGGCGTTTCATGAATTCAATGGCTTTTAGTGTGAAAAAAGAAGAGAAATGAAAACATTTTTGATTTCATTAGAGACTTGTCTTATTTATTTTTCTATCTTATGGTTTGGTAGTAGAAACAACAAAAAAGGTTGTAACTAATTGGGTCTTATAGCTCCAAAACCCAATCAACACTTTGTAGCTCTTTGCTAGTGCCCTTTATAATGTTCGGTCATTCAAAAAGAATCTCGACCCAAACCATGAAGTCCTAAATAGGGTTGCATGAGCATGTGAATGAAACAACCTCTCCCTTATTTTGTCCATAAAGTGCATCTTACCCTTGATATTTTATATTATTTGACGTTGGAACATTTGCCAAAATATAATTACACACACGTTAGAAACAGTTTCACCCACACGGACGAGTGTGTGCACCATTCACGGACACATTGCCTTACGCTCACGTGCATGTTCATCATTCACATTGATAAGGCTATGCGGAGTGGTCTCGACAACCACTCAACATTTGCCTATTTGGCATTTGGCACACCACACCATGAGTGTAACCTGGCAACATGACAATCCACAATCTGTAAATGGCAAAATTTTGAAACAGTGTGACAAATCCTAGATGGCGCATACGTGGACTGTGACAAGCTTGACACGACTCCCTCTAGCCTAAAGGGTCTCTTAACTACTTCAATTCCGGTAAGGCAAACGGTGATATATGCTAAAACCAAACTAACTGTAACGACCCAAAGACATAGATAAAATTTTCATTTTTAGTTTAATAAAAAACCATTAATTATCCATAACAAACCTAAACATTGTATGCCAAAAGAGTGTAATCACCAGAGTACAAATCCAAATCATAAAGAAAATGCGGAACATGGGTGGATGCGCTGTGATCATGATGAGCCCTTCCCTTTTGTACCGGAAGTACTTGAAATCACAAACATAACTGTAAGCACAAGCTTAGTGAGCTTCCCAAAATACCACATACAACATACATATAATGTAACAGTACATGGTTGTGTCAGGACCGTATCAACCCAAAATAACAACAATTAGATGTGTCGGGTCCGAATCAACCCCGAGTCCATAATGACTCCGAGCCCATATTAGCTCCATACATAAATCATACAATCACATCAGTCAAAATCAAACAACAACATACATTCTACTCATACAATACAGTTGGCCAGCCTTGGTGCATTCGACCCACTTAAGGTGGTAAGAAGACTCACCTCACAGACAGACGAAAAGCTGAAACAACACGCTACTCTGAAAACCACACTACTGGTCACCCTTACAAATAACAGTTACCAAAACTCAGACTATAACTCAAAATACCCAAAATACCCCTAGGTTAAACTTAGTCAAATCTCGGTCAAAGTCAAAATTCAAAGTCAACAGTCAAGATTGACCCTCCACGTCGTGGCCATCCTTGGCCACATCGTGACTTTCAAATGACAAAAAAGGCGCGAATCCCCCAGTCACCACGTCGTGGCAGCCTAGGCCACGCCGTGGGAACTGGATCCAAAACGTCTTAATGAGTTAAGTCGAATCCTCCAATTCCAAAGGTTCCAAAGTCCAGATCTGATCATTTCTAATGTCCAAAAAGGGTAAAGTTGCCACCTTTATCCCTTGAGATCCACCAAGAGGTCTAGATCTCAAGTCTTAGATCCAAAAAGGCTAAAGAATGGCAATGACTTATCAAGAACCACTTAATCCCTTGAGTCTCAAGCTCATTTGCTCCAGAAGAGCTTATAATACCAAAACCAACCTAAAGATTGATGCTTTTTATACTTGCATGTCCAATGCAAGTCTTGCACTCAACTTAGGTCAAAATAGGATTTTATGACCAAAATCTTATGCATGGCACAAACCAACCATCAAACTTCAGATCCAAACCATGAACTACTCCAAATGATCCAGAGCTTCACAAAGTTGCAACCTTTATGAAGTCTCTTCATCCCATCTAACAAGATCAAGAAGAAATGGGACAAAATACAAGATCTAGCACTCTATAATCATAAAGCTTAGAACTTGGGGACTTACAAGAGTCCAAAAGATGCACAATAAGATGGCGAGAAAAGTTGTTTGGTGAATCCAAGTCTAGAAGTCTCTCCTTCTTCTTATAATCTCAAAAAATCAACACAAAAAACTTAGAGAGCAACAATGGAGGGTAGGGTTTGCTTGGAGGCTGAGGGTGATCAACTCTAGCCATCACATTCCCTTAAATATGGCAAAACCCCAGAAATTAGGGTTTCTCATGAAACAACTGTCATGATGTGGCAACCATTTAAAATCGGCGACACATCAACCCTCACCATGTCGTGGGATGCCTTCACCACGGCGTGGTACCGCCCAAAATCCAAAATTCATAAATTTAAATACCTCCAAAGATCCGGACGTTACACTAACAATATGAAATAACATAAAAGGCTAAAACCTACTCATGAGTATGTTCCTGAAATACTTATCATTGCTAAAAATATTAAAAACAAAGGATTATTGATTATTGCCTTGCGACGGGAGCATACTTATCAACCAATGATCCACATGTGGAAAAAATAGGATGATAGTCACTTGTTTTTCAAAGTGAAATGGACAAAATACAACAATATTGAACTTCTGCATGTGAGGATTTTTTGTCTTTTACTCGTGATTTGCATGGTAAATTTTTCTTACCGCACGATCATTTTGTTAAATCCACAAAAAAAAGGAGTAAGGCCGAACATAAGGACGCAATATATTGTCATTTTAGTGAAAACCCTATTAAAAACAAAAAATATATAAATTTGATTTATTAAAAAAATTAAGATATTTTTGTAATACCCACATATCATCTTGTCATTATATTTAACATATTAATGATTTATATAAAATTTAAAACTAAATGTTCTTAGGTAAACTCAATCCTTCTCTACTCATTTTGAGCCACACACAAAGGTTACACTTTAACCTATCCATTACTTTGACACCTACACTCACTCAGGCGAAACATACAAATTGAAGATGGATCAAGGAAACCAAAATAATTGTAATTAAATAACAAGTAAATGGCATGTTAAACCACCAAGAAGAAAACAAAAAAAGCTATTGAGTTGGAGTTTTACATTTGCCATGATGAGAGACTCTAATCTACAAAAGAACCCATATAATTAAGCACATTAAGCAATAAAAATCTTGCACACGTGCATGCCTTGGGCTTCATCAACTCAACCCTGATCTCGTTTTCCCCTTCTTTTGCCTGCACATCAACTTATAACATTCAACCACGAGATACCACTAAGTCTGTGTTTGGCAGACTAGCTGAAAAGCTAGCTTTTGCCTGATAAGCTAGTTGATAGCTGATAACGTAATAACATTTAGTAAAAACTACCTGCTAAGCTAGATGACAAATATAAAATAACATAAAAATGACATTTAGATATATAATAAAAACTAACATATAAGGGTATATTTGGAAACTAACCAAAACGAATCTTTTTTCTCCTGAGCTAATAACTCCTCAAAAGAAATATCAGATATATCAGAGTCCGTATCCTCTGTTGTTTCCACAGATTTAGCCTTCATCTCCATGTAAACACCAATTTCAAGCATCTATTACACGAGTCTCAATATCAGTCCATAAAAAGAGAGATTGAATGTCACAAAATAACAAACTACTTACTAATATAGGCAATGTACTTTATTTTATTGGATTACCTTTTTATAAGCTGGTGAGAGTTTAAGTTGTTGTTGGAGCCAATTATATACAAATGCATCTTCTTCTAGCCTCTTTTGTTCTAACTCTAGCTTGTATATCTGCACATAACTACATACTAACACAACCGAATTTTACTCTATTTTTTAATCAAATTAATTGTAAATAAATTTCTGTCACCAACCTGTTGACGCAGTCTGTCAAATGAAGATCTGTCTGCTTTAAATAGTAGGGCCTTTGTAATGGTAAATTTTCGATGTATAACCTCAGACCTGTTGATAACAGAATGAGCATAAAATAACAATGTTTGTTTTTATTAGTTACACTTTTAATGGAAAATGAAGAGGGTAAAGATATTTTGAAGGTTATTTGAAAGATGCATATGAGCTTGTTTACATACTTGTGCTTCAGTTCATCTCTTGCTTCAATCAAGCAGTTTGCAAATTGTCCAACCTGAAAGCCACTTATAACCTTTATTTTATTGATGATGGATTCAAGTTGGTGGTTAAGTAGAATTAACACATAAAAACACATTAAACAAAAGGAAAAGAACTGTACCTACCTCTGAATAATTACCTAATTTAAGAAATCTATCAATTTGGACATAAGTTCTTTATTTTGCAACCCCAGAGTCATTCTTCAAGCCCATTGAAGTTAGGGTAAAAAGTTATACTTTTTCGCCAATTTAGGCAACAAAGTGGATTTGTTACCAATTTATGCATCAGTGTTTCAATTGTTAACAGTTTATAACCATTTTAAGCAGTATTTTACCAAATTGGTTGCATAAACAGGTAAGAAAAGAAATCATAACGGCATTAATTGATCCACTTCGTTGGATTACCCCTAAAAGTTACAATTTGTTGCACTTGCACACAGTAATAATGTAGCATTGTAGGTTCTGAATAGACAAACTAAGAGAAACATATGAAATATGTGATCAAGACAAAGAAAAAGATGAACCTGAAGAAGAGTCAATCCATCGGTTTCATGAGACTTCACAAGCTGATCATATTGTTGCTTAATCTTTCTCTGTGTCGCACTAGAAGACGAAGTAAAAGGGTATAAACACACTAAATCTTGATTCTCCTTCTCTTTTCCAATCCCCTCAATCAATCCTTCCTTTATTACAACTTGACTTTTCGACGAATCATCGGCATCAGATCGTTTCTTCTTCCCTCTTTTCTTCTTCTTCTTCTTTCCACACTCCTCGTCGCCGGCCACCGTAGACTCACTCTTCTCCGGCGCCTGATTATCCTCGTATAGTGCCGGCAAGATCTCAAGCAGCAAGGAATTATTAGGGTTCGAAACGTTCGATTTTAGGTTTTGAATGGTGGTACTGTGAATGCGATCATTAGTATTGATAGTACGGACAATGTCGGTGAGCAGTGGTGGTGAATGATGGAGGCAGAGCTGGCGCTGCCGCCGCCGTCTTCTGGCGTAGAGAGAAAACAAGAGGAGAGAAAAAGAGAGGAGGGAAACAAAGAGAAAGGGAAACATAAGGGGGTGATTCTGATTATCGTGGATGATGGGCATTGTTGGATTTGGATTTAGGGAGTTGGGAAGAGCAAATGGTGCGTCATTTTTTGCAAGCGGGAATAGTGGTTGTGGTGGTTTACAGTGGTAGTGGGTGGAGGAGATTGAAGATATTTTTTTCTGTTATCGAAATCAAAACCAGAAATCAAAAATGGTGGAATGATGCCGTTGAATGCGATGTTTAAATTCCAATTCCCATTCCCATTTGCGTCTTTTCAAACTTGCAACATAACTTTCGTCTATTCCAGTTTTAGCTTTTCCAATTTAAATGGTCCAAATACACCCATGACCCAACTCTAGACGACTCGTTTTATCTTTATGAGGGATTTGGTATATGTTTTGATTTTTTTTTTTTTTTTTTTTAATTAATTCAATTACAGATTTAAGCTCACGGTTTGACGAGTTTTTGAGACTTTACTTTTGGATGACAAAACTTCATAGGAATTTTCTAATATGTGCTCTAATGACACATATAAAAACGTTAATTGAAGTATTAATTATAAAGACTATTAACATTAAACATTTTCGAAGAAACGTTCGATATTGATATATATTCAAAGCTTGAAATGTCATATCTGATATAAAATATAAGCATAAACAGATCTTACATTAATTTATACTAATAATTTATGTTTCATTTAATCTCTCAGTGTAATGTATATTCGTATCGATACCTGTGATACAAATAAACTGAGTAGGTCAGGTTGAGAAACCTGACGAGATACATAGGGTTTCCAACCCACAATAATATGATTAATTTGTTTATTCACATATTTCATGTCAAAAAATTAACCCAATTAACCATCCCCTTTTTCTTTATTTATTCTTCCTTAAGGATTATTCTGAAGGGTCATCTCCTACATCACATATCCCTATCATCGCCTACATCGCATTTCCTTATATGTTTGTTGTTAAGGACTTTTCCTAAGGATCATCGCCTATATCGCATAGACAGTACTGTTTCACGGATTACTCCCCCAATAAGTGTCTAGTAAGGGTTAGAGTATCATTGCATGAATACGTAGTTACTACATCGCCCGAACTCGTAATTTAATCACCTACAGGTTATGAGCATTTCGGTGTTTCCACACGACTTGTTTAGATTAGTCAGTGGTCGCCATCTATACTCCGGTAGATAACTACATCGCAACATCGCAAGTCAAGGTCAGGGCATCTCTTAGTCATCTCCTACTTATCATCACCTATCTATCATCTCATATCTACCATCAACTATTACTATCCAATACATATTTATAAGTGTATAATACTTATATGATTAAATTAGTTAAACATCATCTCATAATACCTTATCTAACACATAATATTGTCAGCACATAAGCATGTAATTATCTAGATACTTCATATCTATGTGTAAGATGAAAGTAATTATGCACTCAATTGATGAAAATTGGTAACTGACGATTTCGGCAGCGCTTTGCTTCGTACTTTGAAAAGACCTAGACGCATAAAGTGTTAAGCCTTAGTCTAGTTTTGTAATCCTGATGACTATAATAATTATAGTCTAGATTCCTCACTAATCCCAATATCTACATCAAGATCTACCAAGTAAGGATCAACCATGCAGGACAGTTGGGAGGCAAGACCATTTCGGCGTATAGCCTTTCTGAAATCCAACTATCAAGCCAACACGACCATTCTAAAAATCTCTCCCGTAAGTAGATCAATCAGTATAATGACTTGGAATTACTGATAAATCTTATTTATAGGTTTATGATAACGACTTATAACTATAAATACAAGTTATACTAAAAGAAATAGAGTGTAGCTTATCTTACAGGGATTTCTAGCGAAAAGGTCGGGATATGTACTGGCAAAATTCCGACTCGAGAGCTTCTATTTGTCAGGCTTTTTGATGCCTAGAGCCTTGCTAAACACCCTTAAGGACTAGAACGACTTGGACTCAAGAAGAAAGAAGTCTTGGAGCAAATGGATTTGCAAGATGTGAGCAAAGGAGTGATTTTCGCAACTTATTTATAGGTTGTCAGGATGGAGTACGCCCAACGTAATTTCATATTACGCCCAGCATAGTGAGTACGCCCAATGTGATTTAGGGCTATGCCCAACGTAGTGGCGTGGGCAGTAAGCAAATACGTATGTAGATTTTAAATCTTCAAAAATTCATAACTTTTGCATACACGCTCTGTTTATGACGTTCTTTATATCCACGCGTAGCTATCAGTGATATCTACAACTTTCGTTTAGACTCCGTCGGCTAATTTTGAATTTATTTTTGAAGTTATATTTTAAACAGGCTTAGACTGGTAAAGTCCATTAAAAATTCATAACTCTCTCGTCTGACGTTCGTTCTTGACTATATTTATATCGTTGAACTCCTATTAACGAGATATTCAATTCTCATTTAGATCGTTTCGACTAAAAATCAACCGATTCGATTTCTAAGTTGTATATTGCTACGCTGAATCTTAGAAAAATCATAACTTCCTCTAATGAAGTCAGATTTAGACGTTCTCTATATGTACGCTCTCGGTTTAACGACTACTACGACTTCCGTTTAGACCTTATAGGCTAAAAAGTAATTTATCAAAAAATCATTTTTACGATACGTATAGTCATGCTGGTTTAATCACGAAACTTCGAAGAAGCATAACTTCTTCATACGAAGTCGGATTTCATCGTTCTTTATATGTACAAAATCCTTGTCACATATACTATAACTTTTTTTAAGGTTATTTGTCATAAATAATCTTCTATCAAAAAAGTCATTTTTAACACTTATTATCTCTAAATTGACTAGCCCGAATCTGCGGGCATTACAATAAAGTTGCTTTTCTTTAAGTACTAATTTGGTATAAGTCTTAAAAATTAAGAACAACTTTATAACAAGTGTTTACTAGCACATTTGGTGGTTCAAAGCTTTCTTGGTGGATATATTATACAGAACTTAATTTATAGCTTAGAGCCATCTCCATCAACTTCCTAATTGCCAGAAGGAACCAAAGTATTTAAAAGTTGTTATGATTTGTTCTTCTTTGGTTATGTTTATTCTTTCTAAGTTCTTGAAAAATGACCCTTGCTGGGCATAAAATGGTTTTAGTTTATTCAATAAAAAATGATTCCGTTGTTAATTACATCTAATTTTGTTTTTATAATTGGACTATTTTGATTAAAAACCCAACAACACACACATCAATATGCCCCATCCCCGTCTTCTTCTTCCATAACCAATTAAGCTGCAACTTAAACTGCCCATGTATACACTCAAAACATAAACAGACAAACACATACTCTCAATCAAGAACACACACACATTTAAGAACACAAAACCACACTTATGAACACCTACTATTATGGTGAAGATGGTGATAGTGCTAGCCGAATATCAGTTTTTGTTTCAGAATATGAGTAACGGTTGAAGGTGGTGGTGGTGAACCAGTGAACTGTAGCTATTTCCTCAGGTAAGCTTATAGTTGTAACTCAAATAAGCAATCAAGAGCAAACCCAAGTAAAACCTAATGGGTTTTGAGCATTCTAACACTCCTATGGTGTGCATGCAACCCTAGAAACCTTGGATCTATGTTTTCTCTATTATACATGCAAAGTTTGATTTTTCCAAGGTTCTCATCCTAACTAGCATATCATGGGGTACTTGTAATATAAAACTAGTAGAATGACATACCTTTTCTTGTGGTTGATTGCTTGGAGATTTAAGAGCCTAGCACCAATAATGTGAATGCCTCAAGTGGAATCACAAATCACCAAAACAACTTGGAAGACTTTGAGAGAATATGAAGCACTCTAGAAATCGGCCCACCCTTGTTATCTCACACACTAGTGCCATTTCAAGTGCCAAAGACCTCTTTATATAGGATGGTGGATTAGGGTTACATCCATGTAAACCCTAATACCCATGACCTTTCATTTCCGTAGGATCCATAAGTTAAAAGCTCCATGGACTATCCATGGACTTCCATGCAAGTTTAGCCCATCCTAAATGAACATTGGCCCATTCTATATATATAAGAGTCCATATTTAATTAGTTTCCTTTTGATCACTAAATTAATTCCAAATTAATTCTTGATCAATACTAATTAAATAATATGATTTCATATTAATATATTATAGCTTATAATATATTAATAAATCATAAATATACTATTCTCAAAAGACTATCCATACAAATTGTTCCGATGAAGTGCAACCCAAATGGACCATGCCGGGTCGGGTCAAGTACATACCAAATATAGTTATGGACTTAGACACCTTATCCAACAGTCTCCCACTTGGATAAGTCTGATAACTATAGTTGCAAGTATGACTTCAGGAATCGACCAGCAATCGTAGCTCTTAAAACTCTGTTGAACTATGAAGTGCCATTTTAGATAAGTGATCATATAATCCTCTGTTCTCAAGATATCAGTCGTACAAATACATGGAACAACGTCGTACTTATTGTCCAACAGTTTGTTTCCCGATTTCCGATTTGTTTGACATAGAACTAAACTGAACACATCAATTTGGTTCTGACCGGGCCCGACACATAGGTCAAAACAAAATCATCGAGGGGCCCAGATATCGCTTATAATCCTCCAAGGACTAAAAGGAACAGATAAACTTCAACTCATATGCTTGTACTAACTACTTGTTGAATCATACACAAAGGCACGTTTTATAACATCAAGTTACTGATGCGTTTTCGTACAATCAATGTACAACCACCTTATAGTCAACAACTCCTATCTCTAGGTTTGAAGACTTATATGATATTACCGTCTCACGATCACTCGAGATAAATTCCATGAAGTGATACAAGTGAGAGTGGGTTTAATCCAATACTCAGAACTTATGAGCACTCATGAATGTTGCATCAACTTTTGCTATGTCTAAACACCTTAGACATCTACAAGCCCAATTCAAGACAGTCTTGATTCATACCTACTTCCAATGTATGATTGACTGTGGAGAGTTTGAATAAAGTAATTATTCTGGAAGTCAAAACATGCAAAGTTGAAACAATAGTAAACGGTTGACACAAGATAGTAACACTTTACTCATAAATAAATAACAACTTTTATTTAATCATCAAATGTCAATTACATTTTACAAGTTTCAGAAATAGCTATCTAATCAGTAAAACTAATATCGTCCTTCAGCCCGATGCGCCTCGCATGCTGCAAATGCCTAACCCTAGTCAGTCCCTTCGTGAGGGGATTTGTTGGGTTCTCTTCTGACGATACCC